GTGTGTGTGTGTGTGTGTGTGTGAGCGTGTGTGTTCAATCTGTGTGGGTGCTATAAGGACCATTCTTAGGTCAAGACTATAGTATCTCTAGTATTTCTGTGTGGGTGCTATGAAGAGCATTCTTAATTAACAGTCTCCCAGTGATGTAATTCCAAGGGGGAACGAGCAGAAACAAATGCAAACCGCATTGCATGTGTGTTCCCCACTTTCCCCATTCCTCCCTCACCTGCCCTTTTCGTTCAGCAGTGTGGTTCCAACCATTAACTTATGATGACGATGATTGATTCTTTCCCCTCTAGGCTAGCACACAACCCCTGACAAGGTCTATTCTTGATTGGTTGATGTCAGATCCATTTTTCAGTACATGAAAATTGGGGGTGAACGATCTCTGGACAAACAAGGACTAAGGTCACCAACGACAAAATTGATAGCACAACCTCCACAAGATGCCTCACGCGATTGAGCTCACGACACAACAGCATTACCTCCTCCTCCTCCTGCTACGTGTGATAGCCATTTGCTGAAACTGGCTCCACTGCTCATCCCAATGTGCTGCCTATTCCAAGGCAATAGGAATACGATAGTATAGACAATCTTCGTGCAGAGAAAGCCTATTCGCGAGAATGAACGAGAGGGCGGAAAGTTGGATCGCATGCTGGCAACCATGTGCACTGGCTGATGAGAGTTGAAATTGCAGCCAGGAGGGATTTCTGCCAGAACTCCGACACATATCATCAAGTATTATCAACAGATCCTGGCCGTCGATCATCGGTAACAGAGGCGCCCGCCGCCATTTCTATTGTTGTGCCAGGTCTCAAGCCCTAAGGTTGAGAGCTATACACGTAGCTAGCTCACTAGCTCAGGGGCGCCACTAACAACTACCATGAATAGTGGCGCACGGGTCTCTATGAAGCTATAAACTGTTTGTCCTTCTGGGCTTGAGCCTGTCCTCTGATGCAATCCCTGTCCGGGAAGGCTGTGAGGTAAGAAGTGGCTGCTTAAACGGGAATCCGGCTGAGGGGTGGAGACATCCAGCCGAAGGCAGCAGCAGGTTCACCTCTCTAATGCTGCTGCTGCTGCTACTGCTGCTGTGATGTCTATTAATGCCATTGCGTGTTTGAGGTTCCCTGAAAATTTACACAGCAGATATACGGCAGCAGCACACAACAGGTGGTGGGGACCATCCCATCCGTTCCAAGGTCTTCCTGTTTGTTTGTCCATTCGCCATCTTCCATGGGGATGATACAGGAATTGTATATATGAGAAAAACAGCACTTCTGGGCCTGCCCAATGTTCGTGCATGGTGAGCAGTTCGATGAGCAATGATCCCCTCAACTGCCTCCTGACTGTCCTGTCCGTTCTAGAAGAGTTCGCAGACCTGCGCGATGGAAAGTCATCATGAGGAGAGAGAGACATTTTCCGTTGGTATTAGTATAGGAAAAAAAAAAACATATCCGTTAAAATAATTTAGAACGATAGATACAGAAAGAAGAGAAGATTAGCATGGAAGGCCGCGGTGCAATCAAGGATGACACGCATAAATCGAGAAATGGTCCAAATTTTCGACAAAAGAAAGAAGTACGAGAGTGGCCAGGCACATCAAATAGCAAACAAAATCAGTCACTCCAAAGGACCCGCAGATGTCGCACCAATAACTTTCCAAGCTTTGCCGGAGCCAACGACCCCCAGCTCAGTTGGTACACCCATGAACTGTTTAAAAAGTACAGACTCGAGTTCGGATTAGATGAACAGAACAAAGCCATCCTGAAGTTCCCCGGGCCGATCAGTTTCAAATTTCAATGATGATATCTCAAGGCCATTGCCCTTTTTTTCTGGGAAAAAAAAAGGGTTCGTAGGGGCCATTCGGAGGAGGAATGCGCGAGATCTAAGTAAGACCTCCTCTTCCCCCTCTTAAATCTGATGACCCTGGAATTCGGGAAAGCATTCCCTATCACAAAGAGGAAGGTGTTCTCCTGCCTGAGCAGCTCGAGCAGGAGACGGGGGGCTTGAGCAGCTCGAGCAGGAGACGGGGGATCTGCCGTCCATCCGTGTTTCCAGCCCCACCTGCATCCTTGTGCAGAAAAAGGATTCAAAATTTCACAGTCAATCCCTGAGGTGTCCAAGCGGACGGTCTGAACTGAATCCGGGAGGAGCAGCGTCCGACCCTTCCGCTTTGGGCTTGAGTTACAATATGAAGGTCCAGACCTTTAAAGGCACACATCCCTGTCTACATCGATAGGCAGAGTTATAGTGAGAAAGAGTGACTGAGAAAGGTGTGTAGTTACACTCTCAGTTTTGACCGTAACGGCCTTGTCTCTTACCTGCCATGGCCTTTCTCCCACCACCACGCCTCCCTCGAGTCTAGTGGAGAAGAAGTACGTAATGTACGGGCACAGAGGCCCCAACACAACGTCTGGAACAACGATCAAAATGAAATTCCTGTACCCTCCATTGACAGCTTCAGTGTGAAAGGGCACCTCTTCGCCCTCCACATAAACACCCACCACCCCAATCTTCTGAATCTTAGCAAGCTATGCATCCATTTGGTCCTGGTGATCTTTCACACATTTCATCCATTTGATTTCAGGTGGCAGAAGGCTTGTGGTCACTAAATTATTCATTAGTCTCAAAATATGCGACGTCTGATGCTGCAAGCCAATCACCTGTTCATCCTATGAAAGAGTAAATGCTGAAACACAGCTGGATGAACTCTTCTCTATCACTCCAGGTGTAATTGACACAAGAAGTGACCACTAACTCTACTAATCATCACACCAGACTGACCGTTGAATGTGGCTGACAAAACACACACACAAACACACACACACACACACACACACACACACACACACACACACACACACACACACACACACACACACACACA